TGTATATCTCCTGAATAGAAGACTTGAACATATGTATATTTTTTTTTTTTCTTTTCACAAGAATTTTTTTTTATTGTGACAGAAAAAATATCATACAGTGTTGCAAACAAATACATACAAATAATATATCTATCCTGTAGTATGTATCATAAAAGAAGTGGAAGCGGGAAGGGGGGGAGGGGAAGAGTCCAGGGGACAAGCCCCAGTGAGTCCAAGGTGGGAGTATCCCAAACACAGTGCATGAACGGTCAGCCTTTACACACTTCCCTGGGAGGCCAGGGTGAGGTACCCCATATTGGTTTGCCCAAACGTTGCTAAAAGTTGCATAGTCATCCCTACCTAGGAATGAGTGGGCTCTACATTACATGGGTCTTTGGTTATAGACCGGGCTGAAGTCCTAGTGTTATGTCTAATGCTTCGCACTGATATCCGGGTGTATAGTATAAAAGAGGTCTACTCTGGGGGTAGACTCAACTGAGTGCCCAAATTCGGGATTCGTGGGGAACTGGGTGAGAAGGGAAAATCAGAAAGGGTAGGAGGAGGCGGGAAAGGGGTCGAGAAAGGAGAGGGAGGGTCATGGAGAGTTAGGCTGTGTGGCGGAGGAGAGGAGAGGGAAGAGACAGTCCTTCGTTGCATTCGTCCCCGCCCGCCCCCCATACTTTTGAGGCGTCTAAAATGTGTTTTAGGAGTAGTCAGACGTTTTAGGGGGTAGTAGGGGTGGGCTTAGAAAGGGAGTCTGTCTTCAGGCTTAAAAGAGCCAGTGATCACTGAATGAGAGCAGCGTAAGAGGCTGTTTTCAGATATTGAGGTGTGGCGTCTCGATCGTAAGCAATGAGTTCTTCAATGTTTGCCACGGTATTAATTCGTGCCAGCCATTCCCTGATTGTCGGTGGGTGTGTCGACTCCCAGTGCCTGGGGATCACGGTTTTGGCTGCATTTAGTAGGTGTATTACCATAGATTTCTTGGTAATATGGTGGGAGATATCAAAGTGGAATAGGAGGAGAGAGCTTGCCGTGAATTCTAGCGTGACACCTGTTATAGTCCCTACGAGTGAGAGTATGTCTGACCAAAGGGGTGAGATGAGGGGGCACGACCACCAGACGTGAAGGAGCGTACCCACGTCTTGTGAGCAGCGCCAGCAGATATTAGGCGTGGTGGGGAAGATGTGGTGTAGTAGTTCAGGGGTTTTGTACCATCGTGACCTCAATTTGTAGTTCGTTTCCTGGATCTGTACATTCATCGACCCTTTCAGCAAGAGCACACCCATCCTTTCCCAGTCTTGTGGGGTGTGGTTGGTAGATAGGTCTTTTTCCCATGACTGTAGCGGGCGTGGGTGACATTGCGGAAGGGTCCGACAATAAGGAGTAGGTTCTCCGATACGGTGTGTGTGATTCTGCCAGGGGATGTGCAGAGCTGTTCAAAGGCGGTAAGAGGGCGTGTAAAGTGTTGCTTAAGTTGTCTATCGTTGAGGAAGTGGCGAAGTTGCATGTACGTCCACAGTGGCAGAGATCCGGTGGAGGTATCAGAGTTTAGGTTAGCCAATGACCGAAACTCTCCCTGACTGTCGAAGAACATTTTCGCGGTCGGGGTAACTTCGGGGGGACCAAGAATGTAGGAATGAGGGCTGGAGGCCCGGGGGAAAAGCTGGGTTCATACGGACCGGAGTGAGAGGTCCGAGGGCCGAAGAAATGTCCGCAGTCCTGCACAGTGTATCAAAAAGGCGTAAAGAGTTGCCTATCGTGGGGTGAGTTAGCACTTGGGACGGGAACAGGGAGCGTTGAACATATGTATATTTATGTGAAATGGACTTTCTTACAGATGGACGTTTTGTTCTGAATTCCTCAGAGGGAGATCTAATTTCACCTCTCGGTGTGAAAGCAGAAGATGATGACATCACACAACATTCTCCAGGAGTGAATCCCAAGACTCATAATAGACATCACAGACCTTCCCATTCAGAGACATCAATGGATCCGTCTAATCCTGAGGAATCTTCCGACCAATCACAGACTGTTACTCCAGATATCCGTCTGAGATCTCACAGTGCGAATACATCAACTGATCCATCCAATCCGAAGGCATCTTCTTCATCTGTTGGAGGTCACACAGTAGAGAGTTCATTGCCATCTTTAAATGGTAAGAAATCTCCCTCTAAAACCAGAGCACCACCTGAACAGCAGAGAAGTTCCACGGGTGGACATCCTTTTTCATGCTCAGATTGCGGGAAAGGTTTCACTGCCAAAGGAAGCCTTCTTAGACACCGGAGAATACACACAGGTGAGCGTCCATATTCATGTTCGGAATGCGGGAAATGTTTCATTCAGAGAGGAGCACTTATTATACACCAGAAAATTCATACAGGGGAGCTTACTTTTTCATGTTCAGTGTGTGGGAAAAGTTTTGCTGACAAAGGAAGTCATCTTCTACACCAGAAAAGTCACACAAGGGACCGTCCCTATTTATGCTTAGAATGTGGGAAATGTTTCGCTCAGAAAGATGATCTTCTTATACACCAGAGATGTCACACAGGTGAGCGTCCCTATACATGTTCAGAATGCGGGAAATGTTTCACACAGAAATATTTACTTAGCAAACACCAGGGAATTCACACGGGTGAGCGCCCTTTCTCATGTACAGACTGTGGGAAATGTTTCATCCACAATAGAGACCTTATTAGACACCAAAAATTTCACACAGGTGAGAGTCGTTTCTCGTGCACAGAGTGCGAGAAATGTTTCATTCAAATTAGAGACCTTGTTAAACACCAACGAATTCACACAGGTGAGCGTCCTTATCCATGTTCAGAGTGCGGGAAAGCCTTCATTGAGAAAGGAGCCCTTGTTAGTCACCAGAGAATTCACACTGGTGAGCGTCCTTATCCATGTTCAGAGTGCGGGAAAGCCTTCATTGAGAAAGGAGCCCTTGTTAGTCACCAGAGAATTCACACTGGTGAGCGTCCTTATCCATGTTCAGAGTGCGGGAAAACTTTCACTGAGAAAGGAGACCTTGTTAAGCACCAGAGAATTCACACAGGTGAGCGTCCTTATTCATGTTCAGAGTGCGGGAAATGTTTCACTGAGAAAGGACACCTTGTTAAACACCAGAGAATTCACACAGGTAAACGTCCTTATTCATGTTCAGAGTGCGGGAAATCCTTCATTGAGAAAGGAACCCTTATTGACCACCAGAGAATTCACACTGGTGAGCATCGTTTCTCATGTACAGACTGTGGGAAAGCTTTTTTTCACAAGGGAAAGCTTAGTAACCACCAGAGAATTCACACTGGGGAGCGTCCGTTTTCCTGCTCAGAGTGCGGAAAATGTTTTACTCAGAAAAGTGTACTTTTTAGACACCAGAGTATTCACAAGGACACAAATTCTTAACAGCATTTCAGTAGCAGAACAAGACTTAGACAAGATAATTCACACAGGTAAGCGCTCCTATCCATCTCAAGAGTGCGGAAAAAGATTACTTTGTACACTCAAGAATTCACATGTGTGAGTGCCCTATCTCATGTTCACAGTGTGGGATATGTTTCATTTAAATACAAAAGCCTTCCTAAACACCACAAAATTCACACAGGTGAGCATTTGTATTGCAGAGTGTGCGGAAAATGCTTCATTTACATGAGACGGATTCTTTCAGAGTTGACTCCAGTGAGTGTACCTATCTATGTCCAGTGTGCGAGAAAAGCTTTACATAATCATGGAAATCTAATGAAACATCAGAGAATTCACACTAACGCATGCTATTGACAACTCTATCATGCTATTTGACAAGTGGAACTGTTCAGTACATCTGTAGTACAATAAATAAGCCTTTGAAGGGGTTACGCCCTGGCAAAAGTCAAGTAGTAAAAAAAAAACGGAGGCGCCACAAAATGAAGAGTCCAACCGTATAAATAAAATAATTAACGTTCCAATGCGTTTCTGGGGGCAAACACGGACCCCCTTCATCAGGGCTTTAGGTGTAATGCTTATTATTGGATGCAGGATCATTATTAAAATGTGTTCACCCGCAGTATCCTATCATAATGCATCTTTCACCAATGAACCTTTTTGCCTATTGCTCATCATTATTCTATGTTGCTTTACTGAAGAAGATGGCCAAGCCAATAGATAACATTCAATACATTCGATAGTTTTTTACAATGATACAAGATCTGATTGGATATCAAGGTTTGCTTTATTGTATGTTTATCACGTATCCTGATTTTATAAAATAAACAAAGTTCCACAATTTACAATATTCTCTTTT